ACAGTGCAGCACAGTTCTGCAGTCACTTCTCATTTGTCCTACCAAGTGATTACATCATTCAAGTGATGTCATTTATGTTGCATTAACAAAAAAGGGCATCACAACAAAAACATAACTTGAACACTTGAGAATTAACTTGTGCATTCAAGCATCTGACATTCAAGCATTCAATTCTCAAGTGCATCAAGAACAAAGTTTAACACTACTACGGACCGGTTCCTAAAGCTAGTATTTTGTTGTCCTTAGTTGAGTTGTAACTTTGTAATTGTTCTTCATTGTAATTCCTAATTTGCTTATCTAGAAGCGTTGCTTATGAACTCTTTGTAAAACTATAAACCCTTAGTGTTTGTGTCGTGACTAGAGTTAGTCCTGAGTTGAAGTCTTTGTAATAGGTGTATTGCAAAGTGGCTTGTAATAGGTGTACTAAGTGAGGGATTAAGAGTTTAATTCCTAGATTGCATAGGTTGTAATCTAAAGTTGCTCATAATGAAGTTAAAATCCTACCAGTGTAGGTCGTAATTTTTTATCCCCTTGAGCAGGGATTTTTCCACGTAAAAACTCCCTGTCTTATTTACTTACTATTTCATTAGCATCTTCAGTAGAAACTCATAGAGGACCTGGTCTCTATATAGTTTGGTGGACTCATATATTCTATCAATTGGTATCAGAGTGGGTTCTTTCTATCAAGTTAACACCTAGGAAGGATCCTTATGGCTGCTCCACCAAATTTTGAAGAAGGTCATTCTACGTATAGACCACCCAGGTTCAATGGAAAATACTACGGGTGGTGGAAGACAAGAATGCATGATTTTATCATGGCAGAAGATTCTGAGTTGTGGGATGTTATATGTGATGGTCCTTATGTCCCAACGAAGAAGGTCGGAGATCCTCCAGTGACGATGCCAAAAACCAAAAAGGAATACAACGATGCAGATAGGAAAGCTGTGGAGAAAAATTTTTGTGCCAAGAAAATTTTGGTGTGTGGTATTGGACCTGATGAATACAATAGGAACTTAGCTTGTCAATCCGCCAAGGAAATATGGGAAGCTTTGCAAACAGCACATGAGGGAACCACTCAAGTAAAGCAATCTAAGATTGATATGATCACCACTGAGTATGAGATCTTCAGGATGGAAGACGATGAATCTATTCAAGACATACACACAAGATTCACTTCCATCATAAATGAGATGCACTCGCTCGGTGAAATTATTTCTAGGAACAAGCTTGTGAGAAAAATTCTCAGTGTTCTGCCTAGTTCGTGGGAGAGTAAAGTGAATGCCACTACTGAGGCAAAGGATCTGCAGTCCCTAACTATAGATGAGCTAGTTGAAATCTTAAATCTTACGAAATGAAAAAGAAGAAGGACAGTGAAAGAAGAGAACCAAAGAAGGAAAAGAACCTGGTACTCAAAGCTGAAGGCAATGACTCAAGTGAGGAGGACTGTGACATGGCCTACCTAACCAAAAGATTTCAAAAAAATGGTCAGAAGGAATGGATGGATACCAAAGAGAGGCAGTTCCAGCAGACCAAAGAATTATGACCTTTGTCATAAATGTGGAAAGCCAGGGCACTTTATCAAAGATTGTCCTCTCCTGAAGCAAGAACACTTCAAGTACAACCCTAATAAAGCAGCCAAAAGGAACCCGGTTCCTGACAAACGCTTCAAAAGGAAGAATGCCGCTGACAATGTTATGAAGCAAGCTCTTGCAGCATGGGGAGATTCCTCAAGTGAGCCTGAAAAAGAAACTGATGCAGGTGATAGTTCCATAATGGCAGTTGAAAGTGAAGGAAATTAATATGATTCAATATTTGCTTTAATGGCTCAATCAGACGATGATGAAGATGATGACAATGATGAGGTAAACTTCAGGGATGTACGGAGAAATCTGAAATCCCACTCTCCTTAAAAACTCATGTCATTAGCCAACGTATTAATTGATGCATACCATAGTCTTGTAGATGATAAGGATGCCTTGAACATAGAATTAGGAAAAGCTGAGCAAACCAGAGATGACTTGATAGTTTGTGTGGTTGATTTGAAGGAAACTATAGATGATCTGGAAAATGAGAAGAAGGTTCTAACTGAGAAAATCACTAGTGTAGAACACGAACGAGATGATCTGGTGGTAGTAGTAGTTGACTTGAAAGAAACCATTGAGAACTTAAGTAAAGAAAAGGATGCCTTAGTGGAGAAAGTGACTGATGTTGAGCAGGAGAGAGATGACCTCTTAATAGTGATTGTAGACTTGAGGGAAACTATAGAGGAACTTGGAGCTGAGTGTAGGCCTGGAAATTCTGATAAAGGGAAAGAGGTAGCTAGTGAGGCACACATTAAGCTTGAAAACGAGTTAAATGCTGTGAGAACTAGTTTGTGTGCTGAACTTGAGAAAAATAGGCAGCTCCAAGCAGAATTGGAAAGAGTAAAAAATGATCTTGAGAAGTCCCTTAAGTGGACCTAGTCCTCGGAAGCTATTACCGCCATATATGTTAATAATTGTGGAAACATGCAGGGAATAGGGTATCAAAGGGAGATTACAACCCCCATAGCAAGTTTGTTACTGTACCGGATAATTGGTTGTGTACCCACTGTGGGAACAATGGGCATTTCAAAGAAAATTGCCAAGCCAGGGTCCAGTCTCTTCAGAAAAACAAAGTGTTTGCTGAAAAAGTAACTACTGAAAAGGGACAAGGTGCCACCCATAAAAAACGCATGTTACCTACATGGACTAAAAGAGCCCTTATTCACCCTCTTTCCTACTACAAGGGACCCAAACTTGCTTGGGTTCCTAAAACTAACTCTTGATTTCCTTGTGCAAGGAACAGTGAAAGGAAGCAGTCAACAGTGGTTCATGGATAGTGGATGCTCAAAGCACATGACTGGGAACACCGTGGACTTTCTTTCACTAAAAGCCCTGCAAGGAGGGAGTGTATCCTTTGGCAATGGGAAAAAGGGGTACATTCTTGGAGTTGGAAAAATCGGGAATTCACTCACTCACTCATTTGAGAATGTGTACTACGTAAATGGCCTCAAGTACAGTCTCTTGAGTGTTTCTCAAATATGTGGTAAAGGAAACAAGGTGGAGTTCTTGTCAAAAATATGCACAGTTACTAATATAGTAACGGGTGAAGTGGTACTGGTGGCCAAAAGATACAAGAACATCTACGTTGCTGATTTTGAATCCCTACAAAGTGGTGATCTGAGTTACTTGAAAGTTGTTGATGATGATGCTAAACTGTGGCACAGAAGACTGGGGCGTGCAAGCTTTTCTCTACTGAATAAGCTAGTTCAGAAGGACCTGGTTCGTGGTCTGCCCAAATCAAAGTTCATGGAGCATAAAGTTTGTGATGCCTGCACTAGAGGGAAGCATGTGAAATCTTCATTTAAGCCAAAGAAGGATGTCAGCACCTCAAAACCACTTGATCTCTTTCACATGGATTTATGTGGGCCTATGAGAGTGCAAAGCAGAGGAGGAAAAAGATACATTTTTGTGATAGTGGATGACTATTCCAGATTCACTTGGACCTTGTTCCTCAGAACAAAAGATGAAACTTTTGAAGTTTTTGTAGCATTTGTGAAGAAAATTCAAGTGAAGATGGATTCAAAAGTAGCCTGCATAAGATCAGATCATGGGACAGAATTTGACAAT